GAAGTTTTCATAAGTGGGTAGATTTAGCTACATCTGAGCTTTTAGCTCCACCTCCTTACCACCAGAAGGCTCCCTCTCCTACATATTGACTAGTTTCCAGTCCCTCCCAAGCCTTTCCGTAGCAACTATCCTGAGCTGAAACATCAGATGAAACTTAAAAAAAAATGTATTATGTCAAAATACATGGATACCTTTGAATGGTCTTCAGTGAGAGGGATGGATATTTGCATGCTCCTGAAACAGGACAGAGCTTGAGCAGCCATCACTTGTACCTTACGCGCTGCAGACCTCATTAACCAGCAGCACGTCATGTTTCTCTCTCAGGGACTGTTTAATAACTGCAAAGCCATAACCAATTCACTGACTGTCACAAAATCATCTCATCGCTGGAGAATGAGGACTGCTAATGTATTTATTTATTTATTCTAAGTACCATTATGCCACTCAGGAATCTGCAGCACTGATAAGCTACTTATCAGTCTCATGAGTGCTATTATATCAAATGTAGGACAAAACTGCGGTGGTCAAAGCCGTTTGCATTTCATTATTGTTGGCATGACAACTAACAGAGATGGGGTCACAGAGGAGAGGCGAGGTCTTTATAAACGCGGTTGTTTGCATGCAGAGATTTTTGTGAAGTGGTGACATCATTTACTGAAGCGTCCTTCTCATACTGTACGAAATATGAAGTTTTAGTTTTAAATGGAGAGAAACATTGCGTGTGCTTGGTAATGACGCAGTGAGTAAATAGTTTTCCTTCGGTTTTAACTGTCATATTCATCACCTGTGGTATGTGTGCTTTTCCTGTCTGTGTTATAATCTCCAACTGTCTTATTTCTATTGTACGATTCCATTTAGTTGCTTAGCAACAATGGACTGCCAGAGGAAAGTCTGATGATAGGAATTACTGCTTCTTTTTAAAAAGGACATTTAATATATAAATGAAATATATAATATTGACATTCTAAGTCAAATAACTTATGTTTATGACACTGAAAAACATTTAGATACATAAAAATACATTTAAAGCTTTAAATCTGTTGCATCTATTGAAATCTATTGCAATCCACAAAAACTATGCTAAGCACCAAAACTGTAAAGCTTCCTCAGAATCATTTAATTATAACTTTACTGCCGCATATTATGTATTTTACATAAAAATGAAAGGAAAAAGGAAGAAATACTTGTCTTAGGAGGAGTGAAATGCACATACATTTTCTGAAGGTTTTAATTTTAATTTAAAAAAACACTCCAGCTTACGTTTATTTCACTGCTAAGCTGCTAACATCCACTCCAACCAAAATTAGTGTCCAGCATGCATAACAATCCATTTCTCTAAAAACAGTTTCTTCGACAAACCCTGATTTGTGATCTCAGTACCACTATAAACTACTGCCTGCCTCCGAAGTTCATTACCAGTCCAGTGTAAACACATAATTCATCTGACCGCTGTTAAGAGTGTTGTTCAAACCAGTATGATGTTCCTTCATGGAACACGAAAGAAGGCATTTTGAATAATATTATGCAGTTAAAATGACTGGGGACTGGGACGTTCAAGCTTCAAAAAGGACACATGGGTAAAAAAAAAAAAGAATCACCCCCTTTAAAATAATCACATTTTGTTGCTTTGCAGCCTGAAATGAAGACGGACACAGTTTTTGTTTTATCCAGCTGTATTTACTCAGTGCAACTTATAACATCCAAGTGAAAGATATAACACCAACATGTCAGAAAGAAAAAAAAAAACAATCACGGAGTTGGAAAAAGGACATATCGTTTGGTGTTGAGACCAAATAATTCAATTTTAGTCTCATCTGCCTCAGAATCTTAAGGTGTGTTTTGGCAAAGCTCAGTCGTGACTGCATGTGGCCTTTCTTGAGGAATGGCGTTTTTCTTGCAACCCTCCCATACAAGCCACATGTGTGGAGGATTTGTGATATTGTTGTCACATGCGCACAATGACCACTCTTTGTCATAAACTCCTGCAGCTGCTTCAGAGTTGCTGTAGCTCTCGGTCGTCTCTCTGAGCAGTTTCCTCTGGCTCTTTCATCCAGTTTGGAGC